TTATGTGCTAAGAAGAAAGGTAACCCGTGAAACTAGGTGAGGTGGTGGATTGAGATGATATTAACTGGCTTTGAGCGTAGAATGCCTCAGGTGGTTATGAGGTGACCCTTCTTAGAAGTTTTTCGCCTCCCTATGCGAGTTGATAGCTTATGGATGATAGCTCCCCTTTTCTTGAGATGAGTGACTCCTTTATCATGACTTAATAAGTTGTAGGTTGTTGAGGATGGTAGCTCCTTCATAATAGGTGGGTAGCTCCACTATGCTGAAGTCATCTAATAGAGGCTATAGGTTAAGGATGGTACCTCTTTATAATAGATGGGGTAGCTACCATATGCCAAAGTTATGGAGGGTATAGGTTAAGAATGTGGGTCCTTTTAATAGGAGGATAGCTCCCTATTGCAGGAAATTTTGCTGGATGTTGACATCAGAGGTTCTCTTGCCGAGGCCGTTGAGATGTGATCTAGCGAAGACAATGAATAGATTTTATGAGTTAACAATATCGTCCTACAAGAAATAAAGTCTAATTCAAGTGCACTACTTCTGTATTGAATTCATATTATGTGATACAAATGAGATTTTGATTTTATTTTATTCTAAATTATGCTAAGAAATATGTAAATCAAATTATGGACGATGATATTGGTATTTGAATCTGCATATTGTTATCTATTTCAATTTTCAATTATATAATTTGGTTGTATTCATACATTTTAGACAATCGATAAAGCCAAGATATTTAACTTTCATTTCCAAGATAAATTAACTCTATTCTAATCATGATCCGAGTCAATTCTTAGTCTAAATTCAAACTATTAGAACGTATTAAATTTTAAATTATCTGTATGATTGCACACGTGATAAATTATTATTCCTAAAATCTATAGCACATAAATTAATTTTTTCGCGTTCTAAACTTATTGTTAGAATTTGGGTGTGACCTGAATTCTGTTGGAAATTTAATTGGGAGTTCTATTTGGAGTTGGTAGTGTTTTGAATTCCTATTTTAACTCAAATACTATGTTATTGATTTTACTATTGTAATATGACTTCGCCTTGTGTTAGACTCTTGTTGGTATTTATTCTCGTAGTATATTAGGAATTCTTGTGTTAGAAATATGTGGTGTATTACATATATTTATTTGATCTACTCAGAGAATGATCTAGGTGGATCTATATTCATAGAAAAAGACTCGCTGATAGAGATATCCAGGAGAGAGTCTTATGAGATCCATCTAATATATTGTAACTGCCTACTTTGATTACAGTGAATTTTCCGCATCTTCCGTAGTTTTTTCTCGTCTTGGATTTCCACGTAAATTTTATATTCTTATGATTGTTATTTTCATCTTGTCCATTTTCTCATTTTTAATATTCACAACAATTTACTCAATTTATAACTAGTATCAGAGCTATGTTTCAGCAGTTCCTGGGAGAGTCAATTTGGTTTCGTATTAGAGCGAGGTTTGATAAACTTAGAACAAGATTTGATTGTTTCGGGATGGTAAGTATGAAGGTTGATATTCCGCTTTTGGATCTCAACAAGGTTTTTTTTAATGGCAGATGGAGAAGAAGCAATGTAAGGATTGAGTTGTGATAAAGGGGTAGAAAAGGCCCCAAATATATGTTTTAGAAGATTTGATGATCACGTTTGATGCAACTATCATTAAATTGAAGAAAAGAGATATTAGACCACATGAGAGGTTCAATTAGGCTAATTTGATTGTTTATGGTTTGATAAGCTGTTAATTCAAATGGAGTTGATTGTGATCGAGTTGCTTGTGATGATAATTTGAGCAAGTTTGGTATTGAAAACCTGCTAGTAGCTTAGGTGGAGTTAGTTGTGATCTTGATGATCGTGTTGTTCGTGAAGATAATTTGAGCAAATTTATTAACTCATATATAGTTGATTATGAACTTGATGATTTTGTGTTTGTGATGAATCGAGCAAGTTTAGTGTCCAAGGTAATTCTACTGGTAAGTAGTGCTTGGATTCAGTTCCAGTTGTTGAATTTGCCCAAGGGCTTTGTTAAAAAGGTGGAGTAATTTGGTGGAATGTTTAATTTGGAGTATTTTGTTAGAATGAAGATTTACGTTTTAGTTCTGAAATTTGTGTCCAAGTGGAGATTTGTTAGAATTTAGGTGTGATCTGAATTTTTTGAGAATTTAATTGGTAGTCTTATTTGGAGTTGGTAGTGTTTTGGACTCCCATTTCAACTCGAATACTCATCTATTAATTTTACCTATTTGGAGTTGGTAGTAGAACTTGAAAGTTCATCATTTAGTGGTAGGCTGTTCATAGAAAAGAAGGCGTCGTCCCCAACGAGTATCAAATTTTGATAGAGTCTTGGGGGCTTGTTGTCTCCAAGCAATCATCAGTATTTGCTCATAACTTTCGCTTTAAATATTTGATTGAAATGATTCAAAATGCGTTGGAAATCCAACTCCAAGAGTTACAATTATTTTATGTATCATTTCTCCAATTAGAACGTTTACTTTCTGAAAAATGTGTTTCAATCTGAAACTAAAAATCTAGAGTATATAACTTTTTTGGCTGTAAATTTATTTTGTTTCAATTGATCATTTGTGATTTTCAATTATCATTTTGTGGTCCGAATCAATGAATATTTGTACTTTTGTCTCTAAACTTTGATTTTCTTGCATTTTCTCCTGTTTCTCGTTCTTTTATATCAAATTCACTAATTTGCATTGAGTTCAACCCAACAAATATAATTAACACTTAATTAAGTCATACATTATCAAAATTATTAACAATTGATCTCATTTAATGATTTAGATAAGTGCATAAAATACACTAATCAATATGAAAAATACCACAAATATGTAGCCCTCAGTCTCAAAGCAGTCTTTATTTAATTGCAAATAATATTTACATATCGAGAAAGGCCAAAATTACGTGCAAATATAGCCTTTTGATAATACTTGCGTAGGTGCTCCACATTCCAATGAAGGAGTTGTTCCTTGCCAAGCAAGTCTTTTATAAGTTCTTGGATGTACCTCTAGAATAACACAATATGAGTCCAAGGCTCCGACACCAAGATCCTTAGAAGATTAAAAGACTTTTCTCAAGACCAAGTCTCCTAAGCGGAATGACATCTTCTTCACTTTAGAATTGTAGTATTGGATCATCTTCCTCTAGTACACCGCTAACTTAATTTAAGATTTATCTCAGCGCCTATCAAGGAAATCAACTTCACTTGATCAATTCATCATTGGTGACCTCACAAAATGGAGACAACACGAAGATGGAAGACCCCTCATTTGGACTCATAACTTTGGCCTTCTAAGCTATTGAACATAGTCTCTATCGTGGTAACTCTACTAGTCGTCCTTATGGCCCATAGCACATATGGGAAAGCTCATCAAAACATGCCTCCTTGGAGGCATCGAGTTTATGCTTGAGGCTATACTTGATGATTTTGTTGAAGCCTTAACCCTGGCCGTTGGCTTGGGGGTGGTGTGGCATGGAAAAGAGTTTATTGATTCCCAGCTCTTCAAAGAGCCTTGTGATCTTTCTATTGTCAAATGGTGTGTCATTTGCCAGAGGCTGAGGACAGGGGAATGGCAAACTAGAAGTTGATGTAATTTTAGATAAATTTGAAGGTACTATTCAAAGTCGAAAGTGCATTGAATGTTATTCTGAAATGTTTTATAAGTGCTGTGAAAGTAATATTTGACACTTCATTTACCCATTTGTTCTAAATATGTTAGAAGACCCTAAAAATAAATGTTAATTATTAGACTTGCACGTAAATAGTGAAATCACTACACCAAAAATAATCATTTGCAACACTAAAAATGCAATATTTACTAATAAAATGTTGCTAAATAGTTTTATCGCAACATTTTAATAAGTAAATGTTGCCATTGGTTAATATAAATGAGCGTTGACAACGTTTTTTAGAAGAAAGTTGCGATAAACCACTTTTTGCAACGTTTATTGAGCGTTGCGAAAAGTTTTATTTTTTGTAACATTTATCAAACGTTTCGAAAAGTCTACTTTTGCAACGTTTATTAAAGGTTGCGAAATGTTTTACTTTTGCAGCGTTTTTTGAACGTTACGAAATGTCTCACTTTTTGCAACGTTTTTTGAACGTTGCGAAAAGTGTAACGTTTATTGAACGTTGCGAAAAGTCACTTTCTGCAACGTTTGACAAACGTTGCAAAAACTTTTGCATTTGTTAAAATTATATACGTGCTGATAAAAACCCAGAATAACCTACACCCTAAGCTTATTCAAGCCTCCCTCCATTAATTCTTCTCTAACCCACCACCTATGGAGCCTCATTCCTCCACCTTCAGGCCACCACGCCCACCGGACACAACCACCAACAGCCTCATCTTCTACAACTTCCCTCAACCCATTCTCCAAAGGTTAGGAAAAATATAGAAAACCCATTTTCAAGATTCCATTTTTGTTGACTTAGACTAGTGGGTTTTTTGATTAATTGTTTGATTTTTGTGTAGGATTGGTCTTGGTGGTCCACCGACGATGATGAATGGGACAATTTCATCGAATTCCCGTGCAATTCTCCTCCATCTAATCAGAACCCTCCAAGTCTTTTGACTCATTCGAGGTCGCTGCTAATCAATGAAGCAATGCCAAATTGGTGCCACCAACTCGGTGGGTAAAACCGAGAGGCGCATTGCCACTTTCCTTATTTGGGGATATAGAGGAGGAATATCATGGGGCTGGGGTTAATCTCAATTCCAATTTTGGTAGTAATGGATCGGATTTGAAAAGTGTTTTTAATACTAATATTTTTGGGGTTAATGACATTATTGCCAATCTGTATAATTAAACCCCCCGGGTCAAGTATGAAAATGGCACGAGTTCCAGCCCCAGAGTTGATTCCAATGAGAATGATTTGATTTTGGATAATAAGAGTAAGGAGGTGAAGGTTGAAAATGGATTATATTCCAGCTCGAAATTGAATGCCGTAAGTTCGGGATTTAGTGAGTGGAACCTAGATCTTAGTGGGATGAATTTGAATTCTAATGTCAATGGTATGAAAAGTTTCAGTGATCAGAGGCACGAAAATGAATCTGGTACAAATTCCAGCACCAAGGTTGATTCCAATGCAAATGATCGGGTTTTGGAACTTTTTGGCCAACATTTCAAATTCAATGGATGGTAGGCCAAGAATTGCACACGGGTATTGCTTATTGTCCTCAGATTTTAAGTTCTTTAAATATACTGTCATGTTTTGGAGTTATCTGAAGATAAACTTCCTACTTGGATTGCAAACAGCATTTGCTTTTAGTATATGATTTGGAATGGATTTATATCACAGCTTAATAAAGTATGTTTGATTACTTGATTGTGCCATGAAAATTATGTACATATATGAAATTATATTTCCACCTTGAATGCAGCTTATACATTTAATTTATGTTTAGAAGGTTGACATCGAGGAGCATGTCTTTTCTAACAAAAATGCATACTCATCTGGGATTGGCAATGGATCCATTGATTTGTTTGGAACTGCAAATCAGTCTATTGATTTGTTTTCCACTTCAACTGAAGTTGATTTAGTTTCCACCTCCAGTGATTTTCATAGTAGTTCTCAGGAAGTAAACTTATTTGAGGTTCAGTCAAGTATAGCAGCTCCAATCAGTTTTATTTCAGATACAAACTTAAACATTGAACGAACAGATATTAAAGATGGGTTGAACCCTAATTCGGATGTTGGATATGCTGAATCTGATGATGGTTTTGGGGAATTTACAAATGCATTCTCAGAAAGTGAACAAAGCCAAGAGTAAGTTTTAACTGTCCTCCTTTGATTAGTTATATTCTTATGGCATTGCATGACCGTGCATGATGAATTTGCTTACATGTTTTAGGAAGCATTGGATGATGATATGCTTTCTCCCTCTAAAGAAGCAGTATTGATGTCGGATGGCAAAGTTCACTGCATAGGATTTGTGGCAGTTCTTTTTTCTTATTATTGAAAATGTATAGGATTTTTAGGTGCTTCAAAATTTTGGATCTAGATTTTGTACGGATATTATTACATTTTGCAGTTCAATTAATAATGATTATTGGAGTTCTTTGATATTGTTATCTTCTATCATGTTTTATGGTTGATTTATGACAATCCCTATACAAATAAAAAAATTAAAATTTTTAAAAAATGTAAAAAGACATACGGCAATGGTAAAAAAATGTTGCGGAAAATCTATCTTTCACAACGTGCAAAAAATCTTGCAAAAGACTGATTTCACAATGTTCAGAAAACGTTGCAAAAAACTGTCTATCACAACGTTAAAAAGAGTTGCAAAAGATCTTCGACAACTCTAAAAAACGTTGCCGTATCATTCTATTCTACGACAACATCGATATTTGCAACATACGCACAAACGTTGCAAAATGTCTTTCGCAACGTTCAAAAAAACGTTGCGAAAGACAGTTTTTGTGGTAGTGAATGCATACTTGAATGTGAGTATTAAAATTACAATTAAATGCATAAATGAAGATGAATGACAAATACGATACATGAATTAACGTGAATGTTAATTAATTTAGAATTAATACCAATGAATATATACATGACAATGAATATTAAATTATTTGTATTAAATGAATATAATTTGATTTTCAATTAAGTGAAATTAGATGCTAATTAGCATACATGGACGTGAATAATGAACTGCATTCTTGAATGTAAAATTCTAATTAATATTAATTAAATGAATATGAATGTTAATTAATCAAGAATTAATAACATGGATATAAACGTGAATGTGAAATTCTAATTATTATTAATTAAATGAATTTTAATTAATTGATAATTAATTATAGTATTTATTACAGTTTGTAAATTAAATACATATTGAAAAACGAAAAAGTAAAATATTATTGAAATAATTGAATTGTAATAAAGTTATAATTGTCCAAAAAATGATTTTCACTTGATATGATATTTAATATATTATGGATTTGCCCTTTTTGTAATGGCCATCCCAACCTTTTTGATATCCTCATGACTTTAAAAATTATGACTTTCATTTGCTTTCAGCTCAGAACAAAATTTACCTAAAGCAATGAGGAGTAAATGTAATATACGCTTCACTTTAATGTAATGGACTCGCCCGTTCTCTTGTCGACGAACTGTATAATGACATTTATCGACAGAGGTTCGACTCATGCTAGGGATTCGAGCGTTGCATGACTCCAATACCAGTGTGAACCATTAACTAGTGTGGAAAAATAACATACGCCTTAAAGGCCTAAAAATCCCAAAACACTTGCAACAAATCTGCAAAATTTCCAGATCACAGTGATGAAATGTCATAACTCTAAAAGAAGTATCACACCAAATTAAATACCAATTCGCATAAAATAGAACACACATCACTCAAAAATCACATTATGCCCAAAAAAACCCACGAGTCTGCAACTCAATATCCCCAAAATAATTGTTTATTTTGACTAAGTATACCTGGATTATTTATTCAAATAACTAATCCTTACTTAACTAGTCATACAGTATTAAATTAATTAATGCAATAAAAGTGTGTAAGACCGGATTATAGTTCTTTATAATTGATATGATGAATAACAAAGAAAAATTGAGTTTGATTAAAATACTAAATAATTAAATTTACTTATAAATGAATAAATAAGTATCGATATAAATATTTTCATTAATCAAAATTAAGAATAAGCAAGTTACTTTTTTTTTTTTGTCACAAACGTAAAAATTAGTTTTAGACATATAGTAGAATTAAAGTAATAAAAAATTAAGTTATCCAAAACTGTTGTAGAGAAGTAGTTATATCCATCCTTCTCTTAAAAGAGGGAATCCTAGATTTACTGTTCATTTTTGTCACGTGAGTTTTCACATTGTAACTAGTTTTTCTACAATACAATTGGGTTTGTCTACAATACAACCGACTATAAAATATCCTGTTTGTTTCATCCATATATAAGGTATTGCAGTGATTCTTTCTTGTAATAACTCTCTCAAAAATGGCGGCAATCATTTTCACATTCCTCTATACTTCGTCATCTCCGGCTCCAATTTATGGTGTGTGAAGTCTAACCTGAAGGTCTGTTATATAGCATTTCTTCCTGCTACTTTTGTTTATGTTTGATAATTTGATTATTGTAAATAGCTAAATTAATTAATAAAATTTTAATTGAAACAAACTGGTCATTCCTTGCCTAAAAATGAAAATGAAGATGATGTGCTTTGGTGCTCCGCATTATGCGGAGCAGTGCGGAAACAATGCGGAGTGATCTCCTCACGCTGTGCGGAAATCAGGTCGATTCCCGTCGGGGACGTTGCCCCCGAACCCCTCGACCTAACCGGGCAGGTCGATCCTCGACGGGGGCGTTGCCCCCGAACCCCTACGAGGGGCGCTGTCTTCTCGACCCTCGTGACTTGATTTACATACCATGATAAACCGTGTTATTCTTACGCCTACAAATGAACGTGTTGACTATATTAACAAAAAGAGAAAATTGATCACTTCTACAACTCTCTCTCTCTCTTTCTCTCTAACCTTAATTTCAGTTGCCATAGAAATTTGGCATCCTTCTTTTCCACCCCCAACCCATCTCCGTCGCCTGCCTCCACCCCACCACATCTCCGTTGCCTGCGAACACCAGCTATCGTGCTTTTATCTTGGCTTGAAACTTTACTCTACTCCGAGATTTTTCACTCTTCAATCTCACTTTCGGTCCCACGTAAGTTCATACTTTGTTTTTTTCATTTTTTTTCTAAAATCGTTGATTCTTTTAGATTTGGACATAATACAATTTGAGATAATTTCTCTTCTTTGATTCTCTTTTGATTTTTAATTTTCTTAGATATGAATGTTTTTAAATGTTTCTTTTGATTTCTTTAGTTGTATTGTTAAATCAACTTTTTTTGAACTAACCCAGTTTATTCAGGCATTCTGTAGAATCTATTTTAGTTCATCTGTTCATTTTTTTTCCCTCAGCTTCTAACAGATTGTTCTCCACAAGACGATAAATGTTCAGCACAAATTGGAGTCTTGTGACCTAAAGTATGGTTTTCAAACTGCAACATCGATACAGGAATTGAAGAGTATGGACCTCAGGTATGTCGGTTTTATCCTTGCTTTCGTTGAGTGCCATTTTTTATTTTATTTTTTTGAAATAATTAGACTCCTCTGTAGATTTCTCATAATTTCAACTTTTAAATTTTATGTATGTTTTAACTAACTCATGTAGGATTAGCATGCAAGTAATATTGTATTTCATCAACTATTGTGTACTATTAGATGTAAATAGCATATTTCGTCGCACCTTACCACCCGTATGTTGCATTCCTACATGGTGCCCTATGGTTTAGAAATAACCTACTTATTGTTTGTTTAAACCTTGTGAATTGCCATGTTTTTATTAAGCTTTTCTGACATTATTATTATTATTATTATTATTATTATTATTATTATTATTATGTGATCTTTTATGGAAAAATAACATTGTAGCATTCCAAGAGACGGATTTATTCAAATGCTAAAATAAAAATTTAGTAGACCAAGTTGATGGATATGGGCAATTCAATAGCAGAAAAATAAAATCCATCACCATTTTAATCAGGTAAAGCTCTCTACTTACTGTCTATGTGTATGTTCTTATTTAATTAGCTTGTATATACAAGTAATTGGTTGTGTGTGTTCTTCAGTAAAACTAATTGATTCTCTTGTTGGATTTCTGAGTAGGAAATCCATTAGTATATATAATAAATCAAAGACTTGAATAATTGATCAATTTTTATATTTAGTTTCCATTTGCAATTATTAATTTTATTTTTTGTCCATGCAATGGTAATTATGAATTCATTAAATCCAATGTCCATAGCTGTACTTGAATTTACATTTTTTTCATTGATGTTAGGGTCTCGCAAGATGTTCAGATAATGGATTATTTATTTTCTATTCATTAGAGTTTTTCCTCAGATGTGTTTTACTATTAGCAGCTACATTTAGGTGGCGCCGACAATAAGTGATCGTTAAAGAGAAAGTACAGATGATAGAAATTGTGATGGACTGGAATACTTGAAGAAGTTGGAGAGGAAACCCAAAATAGAGAGATAATTCCCAATCAATCATTCAGTAATGATCAGTAGTGTATTTATACAGAGAAAGGAATGAAAGGAAACGTGTAATAAGCCTGGAGCTAACAAAACAGAAATTAACAAACTGAACTAACTAATTGAAGTAATTAGTTGAGTAATCATTTATTAGCTAAAACCAATAAAACTAACTGATACTAATGACGTGTACACACTTTCTCCATATCCCCCCCTCAAGTGGGATCGCGATGTAGAACAAGCAGGCCCAACTTGGACACGATTTTGTTGAACTGTGGCCCAGGGAGAGACTTAGTGAAAATGTCAGCAAGTTGGTGATGAGTAGAGACATGCTTGGGAATGATGAAGCCCTCTTTATACTTGTTACGAACAATGTGGCAATCAATATCCAAGTGTTTGGTGCGTTCGTGGAACACGGGATTAGCACTGATATGGAGAGCCGCTTGATTGTCACACCAAAGAGAAATAGGAAGAGGTATCCGGATATGAAAATCAGACAAGATATACGAAATCCAAAGCAACTCACATACAGTTGCTGCCATGCTTCTATATTCGGCCTCAGCCGAACTTCTGGAGACTGTAGTTTGCTTTTTTGTCTTCCATGAGATGAGAGCCCCTCCCAAGAAAACACAATACCCTGTTAGGGATTTCCTAGATTCCTGGCAAGAGGCCCAGTCAGCATCACAAAAGGCTTCAATGTGAAGATCGTTGGAAACAGGATAGAAAAGGCCAGTAGAAGAGGTGCCTTTAATGTATTTAACAACATGTATTGCAGCATTCCAGTGAGCCAAAGTTGGCGAGTGTACAAACTGAGAAAGCTGCTGGA